CCAGGACACCTGCTCTGTCTCTCACCTTCTACAGCAGCTTCCAGGACACCTGCTCTGTCTCTCACCTTCTACAGCAGCTTCCCCTTAAGCCCTGCCCCGAGCAGGCTGCCCAGGGACCTGGTTTCTCTACTGAAGCAGGATGAAGGATGTGTAATCTGCATAAGGATACAGAAGGCTGGGGGGAGGAAGAGGACTGTAGTTCGAGGTCAGCTGGGCAAAAAGAATATGAGACTTCATCTCCTCACCAAACAAGCCTGGCATTATAGTCCATGTCTACTATAATCCCAGCTGTGAAGGAAATGGAGGTAGGAGGATCATGGCTCAGGGCCAGCCTCCCCTTCCCCCCCACCTTTAAGGGTGAGACTCTTATTTGAAAATTAACTAAGGCGGGGCTGGGAAGGTGGCTCAAGTGGTAGAGCGCTAGCCTTGAGCTGAAGAGCTGAGGGACAGCGCCCAGGCCCAGAGTACAGGCCCCACGACTGGATCAAAAAAAAAAAAAAACGAAAGAAAGAAAATTAACTAAGGCAAAAAAGTGCTGGAGTGGGTTGATGGGACATCAATCCACAATCCACAATCACTGGACGGACTGCACAAACGACTTAGGATACCTTCATATCTGAAAATTCTGAAAGCCTCTGTAACATTAATGTGATTTAACTAAGACTCAGAGTTTAACATATAAAAAAGTGCTGGGGGCATGACTCAAGTGCCTAATAAGCTAAGGCCAAACGCCAGTGCTGCCCAAAAAGAAACAAGGGGAAGGGCCCTGCCTCCGTTCACAGAATGCCTAGTGCCCAGCCACTGCCTCCCGCTGAGATCCCCCCCACCCCCCACAGCCGGCCAAGCTTACGCCTGCCCAGAAGACAAGCTCAAATCTAGCAGAGGGGAAAGCGCAGAGGACGAACAGTGTGCTGCCCCACGAGGAGGGACAGAGGCGCCAGGGGTGAAGGTGAAGTCGAGGCTGGGGCTGAGCCGTGCCTGTGGGGTGAGGAGAAGGGAGACACAGACGGGAGCTCAGGGAGGGGTGAGCAGCTTACTACCCCTCCCTAGTCAGACACACCGCCCATCACTGCTCTGACTTCTCCCATGGAAGGAATCTGCTTCCTCTTCCAAAGAATTCAAACCTTGCACAACTGTCTCATGTTCGTGAAGTCTCAATTCACACGGTCAAATCTTTACCAACAACATTCAACTTTTGTGCAGAATCCAATAAGCAAAAATTGGGATTATCTGAATGTTTTACTACACTGAGATGCCACTGAGATGCTTTTTTTGTTGTTGTTGTTGGTCGTGGGTCTTGAACTCTGGGCCTGGGCACTGTCCCTCAGCTCTTCAGCGCAAGGTGAGCCCTCTACTATTTGAGCCACAGCACCACACCTGTTTTCTGGTGGTTTACTGGAGATAAGAGTCTGTCTCATGGACTTCCCTGCCCGGGCTGGCTTTGAACCGCAAGCCTCAGATCTCAGCCTCCTGAGAAGCCAGGATGCCAGGCGGGAGCCACCGGCCCCTTCTTAAAGTAACAGTCACGGCCTCCATCATCCACACGCAACAAAGCAGTGTCACAGATCCCACACCAACACAAATACATACTGACCCACAGTTAGGGAACCTGAGGCATAAAAATACCTGCTCTAAAATGAAGGCTACTGTTTCAAGAACGAGGTGAAGATCCTGCTTCTCTAGAGAAAATGCAGCTTGAAGCTTTTCCTCCTCTTCTTCGCTGAAACTGCTCTCGGCCTGCAATTACAAAGAGCAACTGATTAGCACCCGTTCAGGCACCCAAAAGCCATCCTTGGCAGAAGACTGGTTCATTCATACACAACATGAGATCTTAGAGAAAACAGGCTCATCCATCTGAGAATCAAGAACCTGAAAGAGAAGAATCCATGATGACAAGAGGGAAGTGCTTGTGAGCGTCTACGAGGCCTGGCCCGCACTGGAGAACTGCAGCAAACGCACTTCTCGGGACCCCTTCTGGTCATCATTAGAGCAGGAGCTCCACGCTGCTGTGCCCTGGAAAAGTTCGGACGCCCGGGTGATTTCTCACCTTCCTTTTTTTTTTTTTTTTTTTTTTGGGTCCGGTTGTGGGGCCTGAACTCTGGGCCTGGGCGCTGTCCCTCAGCTCTTCAGCTCAAGGCGAGCGCTCTACCACTTGAGCCACAGCACCACTTCTGGCTTTTTTCTTTTTGCTTGTGTGGTGCTGAGGAATCGAACCCAGGGCCTCAGGCATGCAAGGCAAGCGCTCTACCACTGAGCCACCTTCCCAGCCCCCTCACCTTCCTTTTTTAATCTCTATTCGTGTTGTGCCTGTATTTCCCAATTCTTCCCTTTCATTTCCAGACATGGTTGAGTGTGTACACAGCCACGTCCATCCCCAGCCTGCATCTGGTCTGCCACGGTCAGGCAGGCCCGACTTCTCAGGCGCACAGCCTCGGGGACACGCCGCCTGCAAGCTCCTCTCTGGAGCCAGCCACAGAGCTGCAGCTGCCTGAGCTGCACCTGCGGCCGCACGCGTCTAAGTTCCCAGCTCCGGAGTCCCTCCCAGTCCCTCCGTGTTGCCCAAGATGGCACGCTGGGTGCGACAATTCAGGACACTAGAGAAGCCTGGCGATTAATGCCAGCAGCTGCATTACACACTGTACCAAACACACACGGTAAATCCTATCACATGCACACACACACACACACACACACACACACACACACACACACACACACACACACAGAGGACACTAGAGAACCCTGGTGATTAATGCCAGCAGCTCCATTACATACTGTACCAAACACACACGGTAAATCCTATCACGTGCACACACGCGCACGCACACCCCAAATCACAGATCATCTGTGTATACAAAGACAGGACAGGAGGGCAGCTCAGAGGACTCCACAGTGTATCCTCGGCCCCGCAACGCTGCCGACGCTGTTGGTTTCTTCGGTTGATTCCTACGAGGAGTTATGAGGAACCAGTCTGGACAAAACAGACACCCAGTGTGTGCCCATAAGGGGAACACCTGGCAAAATCAAAGCACCTAGCTGTTGACAGTGAGAGTGGCAGCGGCGACCCTCTTCACCCTGCTTGTCCCCAGGCACAAGACAACTGGACAGACAGAAAGCACAGAAGGACGGACAGGACACCCTGATGACCACTGCTGGCCTGAAG